GTAAATCTGGTGAAATTCTATTCAACTTTTGTTCTCTTATTTTTTAAATCTGAACTAAATTTGAGAAAACCGAGTTTGAAAAAACCTTCTTTTTCGTTTTATCTGGGTCATCAAATCACACTTGTATGTAATGCAGCAACGCATTCATGAAAAAAATGAACTAAATCTGAGCAAGCATGACTGCATGTCTGGAAATTGAGCTCGAGAATCAATCAAAGCGAGATAATGACGACGCAAATTGTCGATAGAAAGGGAAAATTGCAAAAAGAAAAAACTTATTACTTCAAGCATTAAATTTTAGGAGTGCGGTCTGTAATTAGACAACCTATTAATCATACTCGTCAGTAAGCAGACAAATATTATATTATCCAATCAGAATCGAGACGAGAGAGCAAACTTACTAAATAAATAATTATTAATTATTCATTTCTTCCTTGCCTCGATTCTGATTGGTTAATACAGTATTTGTCTGCTTACTGACGAGTCTGAATACGCGGTTGTCTGAATACCGCTACGTAACCAATTTTTATCAGCCATTCTACAACCGTTAACGCAAGATTCCATTTGCTTGGTTAGGCACTCTGAATTTGAACTGAAATCATAGAGTCTAAACTTTACATACTTCATCTCATCCATGCAATTCGAATAATTGCAACTTTACGCTCTGTTTCAATCTTTTTCTGGTGATATATTAAATGGCAGATTCATGTCAAATAGCTTAATCGCAATTTGTAGTACTTCTATCACTATTTTAGTTTATTTCAAAGACATATTTTTTGAAGGAATTGTAAAACTTAATTAAAAAAAAACACTTACTACTGGCAGAATAGAAAAATTGATAAAATGTCAGAAAACTGCTACATATTTGAATTTTGTTTGTAAAATGGAAGGCACCCAATTATTTATTGTCAAAACACTCTACAGCTAAGTACTTCCTAGAGAGGGCGAATAAACTGTTGACAACAAAAAGAAGGAAAACATATTTTTTTCATGACCAATCAGATAAAATCATTATTTCGGAAATTATTTATAAAATTTCCATTGCATTGGATAGGAACCAAAAAATTAAGTTGAACTAAGCAAGAACCAAAAATGGATGTTTCCAGGGAACTCTTATTGAAAATTGAGAAATGACATTTTCATACAGGCGAAGCTGCACCTCACAAACAAGCGCTATAAAACTTTAAATGGCTTAAAAAAGAACAAGAAAACTTTTGACGTGAGCCGGATTCATACCCTCGACCGTAATATTAAGAGCTTCACGTCGTCGCATCTGCGCCATAATAACATAAGAAACGACGAATACTAGCCACTAATAAAGCAGATACCAAGATACTTTTTAATTGTCTAATACGTCCTCGCATCTTGGCCACTATCGCTCGAAATTACCGTTACACTAGCCAACAACAAAACAGTTACAGATGCTATTCAATTGCAAATGCAAAAAAGGTAACCAATTGTGATGTATGGTTGCGTGGAATCGTTTGTCACGCAGCTCCAGCTCAATATCTGAGCCAAATTGATTGATTCTTGTTTTCATATGAAACCTCGCACGCAGATGACTTTCAGCAGATGATTATTTACAGAGAGGCCGAGCTGAGCTTCGCACCATTTGCGATACAAAAAAGAATGACCGTTATTAAAATCAAATGGAAAGAAAAATCAAATATTAGAAAAACCTCCAAAAATCGTTTTGGTCATACAATTTTCTAAAAACCGCATAAAAGTCCAAAAGATCTGGAAAAAAAGTACCAACACCATTAAAAACTTTACAAGGAGCTTTAGGAAGGCTAGAAAAAAGCTGAACTTTCAAAAAAAAATTTGCAGGAACTAAGCCGGCAAAAATAAGCAGACAGACAGACCGAAAATTTCCACTTCGCAAAAAACAAGTCCTGAATGAAATCGAATCCCGGGTGTTACAGTGACTTAGCAGAAAGCTGAACTTTAAAAAAAATTCGGGTTACGAGAACAGCCGACGAAAATAAACAGACGGACGATGGTCCGAAAAATTACAAAAACTACAGAAATTACAAAAAATACAGTAAGTACAGAAACAAAATTACAAGCCTTTGCTGTTTCAAGCAGATGGTTTACTTCTACGCTAGATTTTTGATTGAATTTTAATTTATAACTAGCAGACAGGGAAAGACAGCCAGTAAGTAAAAAAAATTGATAACTTAAAAATAAAACTTCAAAAGTCAAAATGTTGTCTGGAATCATGTTCTATTAGCGGAAAACATGTCCAAAAACACATCGACGGCGATAAATGACAATTCGAAAAATCAGACACAACGGCAACAGAACCGACAAAACTTGAATAATTTCTCGTAGAACCGAAACTATAATTGCTGTCAAGAGAAACTTTCAACTATAAAACCTATTCTAAAAATTTTAGCAATTTGTTCGATCCGGAACGATGTCAAGAGAAACTTTCAACTATAAAAACTATTTTAAAATTTCAGCAATTTGTTATATCCGGAACGAAGCATGACACTTCCGATTTAATGAAAACCACTCAAGCAAAAAAAAAACAAAAGCAGCATATACGAAGTCAAGACTAGTAAAAATACAAACTGCAGGAGTAATTAAAGCAGTTAAAGCAACATTAAAAATTGCGAATAAAAAAAGCAATTTTACGATCTGGCCACTAATCCGACAAAACATAAGCAGACTAACAATAGGTCCACATTTTTCGGAAAGGAGTATTTCCAGTTTGAAAGAGATTCCTGGTCAGATTCGAACTAACAAATTTTGCCGTCCCAGGTGTGTTCTTAGCCTCCAGGCTAGGTGCTGTAGACGCAATAAAAGTTGAATTCATTATGAGCCAAGATACAAAGGATTAAATTGATCCTGCTAACAAGTTCCGATTTGAAGAAGTCTATGTTCCGATTTGACAACGCTTGCTAACCGCAAGCGTAATTATGACTGCTAAAATATGGAGCAAAAAAGATTTCAGGTACTTCTTCTGTTAGTCTGCAGTTTCTTTCATTTAAATAATTGTAAAAAAAACTTGTGCTTCTAAATTAACAATAACAACTTCCTTCAGCACAATGTTTAATTGAGACCCCAGAAAACAAACGAAGCTGATATTACTTGATATCTTTCAAGTTAACACAAGACACCTTTTTGTCGCTAATTTTTGCAGTTAAAATTGAAGGCTTCCATTTTGAGCAATCAAATATGAAGCCAAAGAATAAATATAGTGCAACTGTTCGTCCCTTTTTTCCTTCATTGAAATAGGTACAAAATATGGATATTGTTAATTACATCCCATCTCCATAATCTTTTTTTTTCATTTCCAAAGAAACTAATCAAAAGAAGCGAAAAAAATTATCAACTAGTCAGAAACATTTTGAAATTTTGAACTCTTCGGGCTTATAAAAAGAACTTGAGAATCCATGAGGCACATTGGTTGTCAGAAAACTTGACAAAAAAAACGCCATGAAAACAATGATAAAAAACTTGAGCGATTAAATTTTAAAACTTGAAACTTTTACAAAGCATTTTGAAAGGAAATAAACCATTTCTGCCCTTCAAGCGACACAACATAAGTTGATTTTGCCAATAAAACAAACCAAAATTATTTAAATTGAAAAAATTAACCATCATCCGAGTTGTTAAATTGACAAAATAACAGTACGACTGTCAATTATATTAAGAATTGTTCGAATCAGAAATACGCAACGATTTGAAAATCCAAACATTCACATTTTCCCGGAAAGAAATTTCTATTTCATACATTCTAATGAAAAAACAAGGTCCGACCGGGACTCGAATCCCACACCAGTTGGGAAGGAGCGTAGAAGTTGTTAAGGTTCGATAAAAAAAAGACTGTTTAGTTACGTAGACACTCGCAGGGCTGGTCAATAAAAAACAGGGGTTGTTTTAAACAGTGTTTAAAACTGTTTTAAACACTGTTTAAAACATGACTCAATTTTAGTGTTTTAAACAGTGTTTCATGTTTCGACTGCGAGGGCGCAATTATTACGCAATTTAACTTGATTCATCCAAATTAACACGTACAGTGCAGTTCTTTCAACAAGCTATCAAGTGCGCATTTGCCATGCAAGTTTTGCTGACATTATACAGCTTTTAATCAGAGATTACTTATCAAAACCATTAATTTTCAGCGTTCAGCACAATGGGGTATGTGGAAGGGGACCTCAGGAACAGCCTTTCCTCAGAGAAAACTGAGAAACTAGCATTTTGTATGCGTTGCTTGAAAAAATAAATTCTTGCAAAAAAAACATGTTTTAAACTGTTTTAAACTGTTTAAAACGTTTAAAACAGTTTTAAACGTTTTTTTTTAAAAAAAACATATTTTGACCAGCCCTGGACACTCGTGAGAAAAGTTGTTGGTCTAGTTTTCGATTAGGAGATACTTGCTCTCGCACTACTCGAACCATTCACATAAAGCATGACAAAAACATTTTTTTAAAATCTGAATACAATGCAAAATAAGCCGGAGATTAAGCCGACTGAATGTTAGGCAAAACCAATTGGTCGATATAAAATTGCCAAAAATGATTACCAGACAATATGCTACCCTAAACAATTGTCAAAAAATTGCGTGCTACTTTAAATCCGACTCATATTCAGTATGTGAAGCAACCCACATCTCAGAAACGACGCCGACTAAATTTTTTGCAGAAAAATTGAGCATAATGAACTTGTAATTCTAGAGGCTTACTGCGAAAAGGTCCGACCAGCTATTTTACTGAGATATCAACTCTTAACAAGCTATCTAACTGAGATATTAACTCTTAAAAGACCAGAAATTGTATTCAGAAACACTTAACGTTCTCACGTGTAAAACCTGAGAACAAAACTTTAGACGGAAAAAGTCTTAGTATAACATACCAGCTGTAATGAAACAAGCACTCAAAACTGATTCAGACAAAAAAATTCAAAAACAACAGTTCTCATTGATCAGATGAACTTTGCATATTGTCCTCTCGCTCAGAAGATAAATAGTCTGACCTGAACTTAACTTTACTGACCTGTTATACATGACCCAAGCGGAGTCCACATCCTGAACACTTTGATCAATTCTCAACCCAGTCGCAGCTCCGTTGTGGAAAAAAGCCCAACTTCTAGCAGGGAAACTTAGCGTGTTAGTCGTTATCTGTACCGACACATTTTTAGGCATCACTTTACACGAGAAGTTCATCTCTGGAATCGGTTCTGTAGACGTTATATTAGGCGAAACTGAGCTTAGTGCAAACATGCCTCTGCCCACGGGCAAAGCCATTGTTCGCTTGGCATAATGGGCCAATATCAACTGCAGATCTTGCTGCTGGTAGTTTGCTTTCACTTTAATCGGTTGGGATGAATTCAGCATTCTTGAAACAGATTGAATTCTACTGTCTTCAGGAAATAAGACATTAAGCACTTCCATGTCCATTTCCAACCCATTTGTTTTCAAAATCGTCCCTTGCACAGAATTTTTACCCTGAAATGGGCCTAACTTAGCGTCTCTGCTCATGTAATAAGTACTGGTGCCCCTTTTAGACGTGATCATTTCACTGGAAGTATTTTTAATCCCCTTTTTGCTCATGTCTTTCGCTCGAGTTAGGGTCGCTTTCTGGGATATCAAATCCTGCCTTTTGATCAAGTTGATAGCATTTTGGGTCCAATTAAGCGAGGGTTTCAAATGACCATGATAAATGACGTCATAAAAAGGAAGTGAAACACCTGCGGGCAAAGTGCAGACAAAATCTGAATCAATGCCCATTACTTCCATTAAGACTAGCATCCGTTCAGAGAAAGAGGCCGACTTCAAATTAAAGTCAACTGATCCTGACTTCTCTTCAATTGAGTCTCTTTCCGCTGACAGATTTTTTAATGTGCTTGATGGAAAAAATCTCAAATTCAATTTTCTTTCCAATTCCAATGGCATTTCATTACCCGTCAGATCAATTAGAATTTTAGAAATAACTGCCGAAAGTGAAATTTTCCCATTATCACTATTCTCTCTTTCATTGAATTCTTCTTTGTCCGATGTCTTCAAGTAGGCATAATACATGTAAACAACTGCCACTTTGATAATTCTTTCAGTTACTCCCCAAATAACAGGAAACATGCTTAGGGTGCTCGGATTGTTTTTAATTGCATCCACCAAAGCGTCCCGTTTTTTCGTCCCGTTTTCTTTACCACAAGAATTCCATTCCATTTCAGTAGCCCGAAGTGCTTCAAACTCTAATAAAATGTCAGTCCAATTCTTACATTTCAGTGCGCCTCTAACCCAACAAATAAAACTCGACACAAGACCATGACAACCGGTAAAAAAAGCCTCCAAGTCATCTAATTCATTTCCATATTCGGTAATAAATATTTCCGCTTTCAAGGGCAATTTTGTCTGATTATCGCGCAGATTTGCAGGGAAAATCTCGACAGGAAAATCAGAGAAATATCTAAACTTGACTTCCTCTAAGCCCAATTTATGGGCTATCGAAGCCAAAAACACAGCTAAAGTTTCAGTTTCCACACTTTTAGTCAAATCTAGTTTTAAATCTTCATAAATTACATGCGCAATTTTGAAAACTAATTCAAAACTTTTGTTCAATTTCAGTTTTGTAGCTGCCTGCGCTTTAGGTTTACCCTGTGACGTTTCGGGTAAACTTTCGTGATTGTTTTCATTACTTTTCGTAAAAAGACACAAATCGGCAAATTCAGCCACAAACCCAGCTTGCATCATTTCCTTAAAGTCGTCTTCTGTTCCAATGTCGTTTCTTTTGACCTTTTTTGAACTCAAATCTGAACAACTGTCCATTGACCTCGACCTACGCGCACTTTCAATTTCAACAAATCCAAACTCATTTTCCAGAAACGAGACAAACAATTTAAACTCACATTGGGAATCGACAGTTTTCCCAATAGCATTTCTACAAACAAACCAATTGACCGCAAACTGTGTGAAATCAGCGTTCGAAAAGCAACGTTTGAAGCTCTGTAAAAACAACTCGACCGCCGGGTTTTCAAACAGTTTGGGCAAAGTTAGGTAAACAACGTTGGTAACTCCAAACGTGTACCCGACTACTGTTCTACCGACAGAAGCGTGGAAATTATAAATAGAATTCCAGTTATTGACTGAACTTTCCATGTTCAAAGTGGAACTAAACAAATCAGGACATCTGACTTTACACACTTTTTGTGGCCCAGAGTACAGAGCGACTGCTGATTCCTTCTCCAAAATTGCCATATATGGAAGGTCTTCGATATTTATTGCATCAAAACATGATATAGTTGACGTTTTTATCATTTCAAAATGTGTAGCTTTGGCTGTTTTTGTTTCAGATACCTTGAACAAGCTTAGACTTTCAATTTGCCCTATAAACAGACAAATAAACTTGTTTCCCAGAAAATCAGATGTTGTAAAAGCTTTGGAAGCAACGAATTTCGACGTATGTTTCGATGTCAAGGAGCCCTCATTAGCGATTAGTTCCAAGCATAAATTAGGAGTCAACGGCATTTCAAACCAGGGCAAAACATGGGAGTTTCTGCTTAAATGAGTAGACGATTGTGCTTCCGAAATTGTAGAATTGATGTAAGGAGAGCTTTGACAAAGAGGTTGAGACGTTAACCTATAACTTTTTCTGAACAAAGGGCTTTGTTTCTCTGAAAACGGAGAGCGAAACTTCTGATGACTCATGAAATTGGGCTTCAAAATTGGGGAGAAGACGCTTGCAGTTTTATCCAAATGGAACCCTGGTGTTTTAGCCGGCTCTTTCATTCTCGTCAAATGCGTTTCACACAATTTAAGCTCACATTGATGATAAAAATCCTCCTTTTCGCCTTCGGTCGCTTTTCGAATTTTCCAAAATCTATGACCTCTTTTTGAGTCATGCGTGATCAACATTTCTAGACTTTCAATTGAAGCAACAATGCAACTCTTCTGAGAACTACTGAACTCGGAAATCGTTACAATGTTCGTTCTTTCATCTGCGGTACAGCAAATTATTGGAACCAGTTCTTCGCATGGGTGACCCAGATTATACAAGCTAGGCAAAGGAATCGAGCTGGACGCAACATCTTTGCTTTCAACGATCAACCCGAAGTTCTTGGTTGCCCAAACAGATTTCGGCTCAACTGTCAACTTGGATTGGAAGCAATCACCTGAAAAATATTTTCCTCTGCAATTCCTGGAAACGCAATTTAGAAAAAAAAACTCAAGTGTGTCTTGAGTTTCGCTTGGCAAATTTCATTTACAAAGGAGCCTCAAAACTCAACAAAACAAACAAAGCCAACATACGGATGGAAAATTGTCCATGACATTTTGTCGTTTCATAATCAAGATGTTTTAGTCATTGACACTTTTATGAGGAACAATCTAACCAATTAGAACAGACTGGACCAAAAGTTAACCCTTTTAATCTGCTGAGCTCATAAAATCAAATTCCCTTTTTCTTCAAACACGTTCTTCGCGCCATTTGCACTTTTGATATTCGAAAGCGTAATTTGCTTTCATTTCACAAGGCATTTTGAAGCGAGCAGTGGAAAACAACTGCGTGAACTCTAGGAAAAAAAATAAAAAAACAAAATTTAAATAAATGTACAACGCTGATTTAAATTATCCGGACAAAATGAACAAAACTTGAACTTTGAAACACATTTTTCTCAAATTGCGTTAAGATAAGACAAAAAGCGAAGAGAGCAAAAATTGCTTAGCAATTCATCAGAATTAGTATGGTGCAAATTTTTTTCCGAAATTCTCTACCTTTACCCCAAAAATAGGTCATTATGGCTTTTTGCAATTAATCAAGAATTACACTGAAACTACTTTGTTAATTGATGAGATATTTATATCACAAGAAGCTTCTTACACAGCCCAACAAAGTTTGAGAAGGGTTAAATCTCCAAAAACCCGTATCAGAGAAAATATGTTTGCTTGATAGTCAAGAAAGGTGATTAATAGTATATAAAATCCAAAATCTTTGCTTAAAACGAATTTTAAACAACTTAGTCAAATTGTTGAAGATTTAACCCTTCGAACTTTGTTGGGCTGTGTAATAGCTTTCTTGTGATATATATTTCTCATCAATTAACAAAAGAGTTTCAGCGTAATTTTTGAATAATTAAAAAAAGCCAAAATGACCCAATTTTGGGGTAAGATTTTGGTTGAAAATTTCGGAGACAAAATTAGACCATATTAATTCTTTTTGATGAAAACCTAAGCAACTTTTGCTCTCTTCACTTTTTGTCTAATCTTGACCCAAAAAACGTGTTTGAAAATTCAAGTTTTAATCGTTTTGTCCGGATAATTTAAATCAGCACTGTATTCATTACGTTCATTGACACTTAAGAAAACTCAAGCGGATCAGATTTGTCTTAACTTTCGTATCAAGCTATTAGAACTAGACAAATCAGATTAATGGGATTAATATATAACCGAAATTGTAAACCAAAGGCATAGCGAAGCCTCGCACCACTACGCAACTAAACAGCCGAAATAGAAACAAAAACAACATGAAAAAAAATTGTTTGAAAAAAAATGTCAAAACCAGATCTACCAAAAAAACGTTTTTCTCGATTTGTTTTGGAGGAGGTTGTTTCAGGAAAAACGTTAAAAAGAAGGAAATTGCCAGTTTTAAACTCGCATCGAAACGAAACATGTGCAGCGATAACTAACTCGATCATTCTTGCGTCGACGCTTTTCATATGAAAAGACTATAAAAAACAATTTGAAACCCGAAGTTTTGCAAAAACTAAGTGAGTTTGAAAAAACTGGATTGATATTTAAGTTTTTTATTCCGCTGGTAAATCTTTTCCCGTTCGATATGGAATTTGCCTTCTTTTTAACAAACGAAATGAACTTAATTTAAAAAAATCATAGCTCAAATCATCGAAAATTAAATTTGTGCCTGAACAAATTTTGATTTTTGCTCAAAAAAATCCATCGCGAACTATATAAGAGACTGAAGTCGAAATTGGACATATTATGCTGTACTTAAGCAATGGTTTACAGAATAAATTTGTTTAAAAAATTATTTGAAAAATTTTCATTTAAAAACAGACAGACGATAACCCGAAAAGCAGTAAATTTCTTGTTTGCAAAACAGGTCAAGGATGAAATCGAACCAAAGGTATTTGATGACTCAAGTATATGTGTTACTTCTACGCCAGATGCATTGGATATTTGATAAAATTTGACACAGAGGCGAAGCTGTGATTCGCAAACACTTGCGAGAACACGACAAAAAGCAGCTCTATCAAATGAAATAAAAAAAAAGAAAATTAGCCTCGAATTAGCAAAAACTCTGTTTCAAGTAGGATTCGAATCTGCCACCTACTGCAATCAAAAGATTTTGAGTCTCACGAATTATCCACTGAGCCACGCAAGCTTAACAACCGACAAACATCAGTCACGAATAAAGCAGCTACATTTGCTAATGAACTGCCAATTCCAGTCAGCAAAAGTGGCACCAAATACAAACAGACTCAATTTTGCGATAAATAATTTGGAATATAACAAACTGAAGGCATCGACTATGAAAAAACTGCAAAGGTTCCCCAAAAATGGCACCAATATTTGCGACTTAGGTTGAAAAAAAAGTTTCGTACTAATACACTCGCTTCGCTTCAAGTGCGAAACCTTGTGAACAAAGCTGTTTACGGGGAAGAAAAGTCTAGTACCCAGTTGCAACAAGCTTGCTGATCGCAAGTGTAAAAAAACGAGCCTCAATAATGTTTGAAATTATCACAAAAAATACGAATGAAAGAACTGAAAATTCTTTCTTTTCATTAATTAATTTTTAAAATGGCTAGTGTTCAACGCACCTCCGAAGCTATGAATTTTCGAGAAAAAAACTCATGAAAACAGCATATATTGGAAATAGGATCTACATCCTTTGCATTCTTTGGGTTTACCCTGACAGCACCCAATTATAGAGATGGTAATTTCAAATTTTGTAAATTTGTATTCTTTTTTAAACAAAATTTGAAAAGCCATAAAACTTTGTGAAGTTTTTTATATCTAAACTCTTTGAAACATTTTATTATGACATAAAAAACGTCACAACTCGGAAACTAAAAGCAATTGAACAGTCGCATTTGGATGCACGATTTGCAACTCCTGAAAGACTGGGTAACTTTCACAGTACCCAACGAAAGCGCTGGGAGTTTCAAATGTTTTCACAAAAAAAATTGCAAAAAACCATGAAAAAAGTCATATAACGAAAACTACAAAGATTTGAGTAGTCACAATTGAAGGCGAGATTCGCAACCTCTGAGAATACTCTGATAGCCCCTAACTACAGGGTTGCTAATGACGAAGTTTGAGAAATAACTTTCAAGCCAAGTTCTCTGAAATTTTTTTTTGGAAAAACACAAAATTGTCGTATTTCGTAAACTAAAAAATTTGGGTATTCAAAATTGGAGGCATAAAAGCCGTTGGAGTATTCATGAGTTCGCAACCCCTGGAGGAATCCTGGGAGCAAACCCATTATTTGGTTGCTAACTTTAAATTGGTGAAATAAACACTGAATTCAAACTGGAAAACCGAAAAAAAATCTGCAATATACGATATAGCTTAAGCGTGACAAAAAACTTTCGAAAAATAATACGTTGAAAAAGCTTCAACGTGGCGAGATAGTGAACCCCGCATTTAAATATATAATAGATTAGGCATAACAAAAGCTGAAATATCTTACTGTTACAATTTCCAAGTAATTAGGTGATTTCGAAAATCCCGTTTATAAGCTGGACTCAAAATCCAAAAACAATGTTTGATCTAAACCAACGCATCGGATCAGAAAAAAAAACAACTAATAAATTTCAACAGACAAAATTTCAGACTTTTATTCTATCTTGAAAATTGATGTTTGGTCGGCTCATATAATCAGACTCGGAAGTTGTACGTTTAAAACTACCTTAACGATACAAATATTAACCACTATTTTACTGAAAGTAGGTAACCTTTAAAAGTCATAGCAGTGAGAAGAGAAGACTTGATCATGACGAATGCGTCCCAGGTGTCTGCATTTTCCTCGCAACAATCAGCTGGATTGAATGTGCACCATAGTCCAAAATCAAGGTTTTCTGGGAGCGACACAGTTTTGTAGTCAGACGGATTGTTGATATTTGAACATGAACTCGTTTGTCCCCAGACAATCAGTCCATTTTGAGAGAACACAAATTCGATGGGACCTGACGTCTTTCGATAAAACAAGAGATTAGGCCTTTTTGAGCTCACTAAATTAGCAGTTGGATGAGCTGCTCCTATAGAAGAAACGTTGAGCGGAACACATTGATATCTTTCGCAGTCAATCATTGTTAGCGGAAGCTCCATTAAACATTCATGTCATCAATATCTGAATGAAATAATAAACATAAAAACTTATCAAATATATTGAGTTCAAAAGAGACGGCAAAATAACTCGCAATGCGGCGCTTTTAGTTGCAAGGTATCGGTCTTGAATTTGCTCTTTTATAAATCAGAAAAACAGAAATTATCATGGTAACCGAAGTTACTACACAAGTCCTTCATCGTTTCACACTGTCAAAAAAAAACATTTAAATTTTATTAATTAGGGAGAAGTAAAGTATAACGTGAATAAAAGTAAAGACAGTCTGATGGATGGGAACACAGCCAACCTGATTGAGAAAACTAACACCTGCGCTGAATAAAACGGAGTTGAAAGAAACTCAAAAAGATTGACCTCATATGAGGTCAATCTTTTTGAGTTTCTTTCAACTCCGTTTTATTCAGCGCAGGTGTTAGTTTTCTCAATCAGGTTGGCTGTGTTCCCATATGAGACTACGGGTCTATCAGATTCTTCTACTAGGCAGCGCTTTCGATCCCTTGGCTTTACAAAAAAAATCTAGCAAAACAAAAAAAGAAGTAATTTTATCAATAAACAGGCGAAGCGGAGCTTCACACCACCTGCGATGCAACAGAATTATTTAAAAAAGCAAGTAGAAAAAATTGAAAAATGTTGAGAATAACTAGGTGAACCAAAATTTTTGTATAATTCGAGGAAGGACACTTAGGGCCCAGCTAAAGCTAAATGCACGTCTTTGATATATTTGAATTTACTTTACTGATGCGGGACAATGCGTAATTTCATAAATAGAAAACTCAATTTCTCACTTTACTTTTTAATTAAGTTTAGCAACAAATTTTCCTAAATTGACATAATAATTTTTATGTTAATGTGTGCCATTTGCCATGTTACCGTTATTCCTGGTTCCATTCCTAGGACCGTTATACCACTCAAACTCCTTGTGGAAGCTGCCACAGCAACATAAAAGAGAAAAGATGAGACTATTCAATGTGACATATGTGAGCACTGGATTCACCAGAATTGCAGTGATATTCCTGCAGAACCGATGAAATATCTTGGAAAAGTGAAGGGGGATCCGCTGGTTTTGTGAACCATGTGAATTCTATTTAGTCGGCGCAAAACACATACACCGATCAGATCGACAGCGTCAGGGCAACAAATGAGGAAACGCAAAAGGACATTCAAGATATAAAACCTATTATAATGCTTTCAGATCCGATGTGTGCAAAGAAAAAAAGAAAAAAATGAACTTATGTGCCAGTCGGTCATATCTGGAAATTTGGCCTGTTTTGGGCTAATAAAGTAATTTTTCAAAATTTCGAATTGAGCCTGCCATGCAGGCATTTCGGGTTCGGGTTTTCGGTTATCGGGTCGGGTTTTCGGGTTTTGAGACAAATTTCGGGTTTCGGGTCGGGTTTCGGGTTCAACAAATTTTCGGGTTCGGGTTCGGGTATTCAATTATGTCGGATTTCTAAAACCCGACTTTTGTTTGCTGTTTTCGGTTTCGACAAAAACTTTCCCAATTTTTCTTTTTTTTGAGGTTTTTTACTTTTTTAATTTTTATTTCTATTTCATTTCTGAACGCGATTGCGTTGTACGATGAAGGAAGAGTGGCGGATATTTGAAACCAAAAATCCAAAGTTGAAAGACAAGTTTCTGTGCGGTTTCATTGACAAGAAGAAAACAGAAGCTGTGACATTCGACCAGAATGTGAAAAATGCAATCTCTGCAGAATTCGGAATTTTAGCAGTAAGCCTTCCGGATTGGTGGTTTTTAAGAACTAAGAGCGTTATTGGAACGTTTGGCCAGACGGTGAGGGCTGGAATATTCTAGTATTTTAAAATTTCAAAAATTCGAATGATGACGTCACATTTCTGAGAAATGCTGAAACGGCCATTTTAACAAAAAACGAGAGAGAAAACACAACAACTTTATCTGCGATTGCGAACAGGACGAAAATCGAGATTAAAAAACGACAACATAGCAGAGAACGTTCCGAGTTGCAATTATTGTGCTGCTACAATAGTTGCAAGGCCGTTGCGAACAACGGTGAAGGGTAAGAGACAGCCTTCCGAATTAGTAGGAAATCAAGATTAACGAGCTTGATTCAGCGGATTCGTCAATCCGGAAGGGTAAAGGAACTAGAACTTTTATCCTGTTGCATAAACTTTAAGCTTCCTGTCATGTCCTGACTTGAATTTAATTAATATCTAGATTCATTTTGATAAGGATGAGAAGCTAGGAGTTGGGGGAAAGGGTTGATTCATCTTCGATGGAGATGATGAGTTTTATCTACTGAACAAAAACAATAGTAATATAATAAGTAGTAACCCTGTTTTTAGGAGTGACCTCGTGGTCTGGGGATACTGAGACCCAGCCATGAGCTCACTATTTGCATGTAATTAAGTTAATTTGAGCGTTCTGGTCGAAGCCGGAGAACAGTAACGTTTTTGTCGACCCGATGTTAGAAAGACCACCGAAAAGTACTGGCTTGGTAGAGACGGTGAAAAGCATGCAAAGCTCTGTTTAGACGTTAGCCAGTCGTCTTAAGACTTAGTTTTGTTATCCGTCGATATGTATCTTCCGGGCGAATGATACATACATGTTTTTATGGCGCTCCTGGGTGTTATTCTTTTTAACATCATGACCGGCAGAACCGTTGACGAGCACTCCGCGCCGAGCGGATGCTCACATTAACGCCCTTAATAAGCCTAAACCGCCGGGGCGGAAGGGTAGTTCGGAACGCGGAAGCCTTCCGGATTACCGTGAATAGTTTTTTAACCTAGTTAAGACCAAAAATTCACGAACCAGGAAGGGTGGGGGGAATCGCGAACCCCTCATCCCCTGAGTGGTTTGTGACCAAAAACACTTAAAGATATAAGTAAAGCCAAACAAAAAGTAGTATAGTACCCAAGAAAAACAAAAAAACATAAAAAATAACCGAAAAAACCAAAAACAGTAAAAAAGTAAAAAATCAGTAGAAATCATCCCCCCAGACAAGATGTGATCCAACCCCCCCGTTTGTTGTTGAAAGATATATTTTTGTTACAGGCATTTATATCAGTCAGGATCGTTACGATCAGTTTTGTAGCCCGTTTGTGAGGCTTGTACTGTAGGGTTATTTGAGTATTTAAGCACGTTAATGATAAATTGCGCTCAATCCGGAAGGGTCAGCTGATTTGCGCTCAATTCGGAAGGGTCTTGGGTGAAGACCGATCCGGCAAGCAGTACAAGGAGCAACAAGAAGAGGCTCAAAGACGACAACAATCGACTGTTGGGTATCGTTAACAAGTTTTGTAGCCCTTTTGGTACAAAAAGTAAGATAGTAATCTGTGGGGGGCTCGACAGTGCTGCACTGTAGTGACCCTTCACCGAACTGCGAATATCCGAGTTAAGCACCTTAATTCGGATATTAAGGAAACCCGGAGGGGTATAGTATTACTAATATTATTATTTATATAGCCTATATCAATAGTCTTATATCGTTTTTCAGTGAAAAACGACGAAAACAGACCGGTTTTTACGGTCAAAATAGCGATATTTTGATCCCCCCACAAGTCGCGATTTTTGAAATATCGATATTTTTTCAAACGGAAAAAAGCGCTAAGTTAGTGTGTTACATCGTAACTGCACTACCACAATAGATAGAACCGGTTAAGTTTAGTTCGGAAGTGGTTGGAACTATTTTGGAACCAAAAACCGAATTTTCGTGATTTTTGAGAAAACGAAACACTATAAATTTAGAAAATTTTTGGAAATTTTTGAGTTACAACAGTAAAAATAGTTGTTCGGACAACGTCCACTAGTGAATCTACAAGTTTTAAAACCCGCTACCCGAAAGCCTTCCGGGTTGCAGAGAAATCGAACATAACGTGTTTGATTTGGTGGATTCATCAATCCGGAGGGGTCCAGGTAGCATAGTTTTTCGCAAATTTTTTCTACAAAAGCGTTTTAGATCGGGTCTTTTGCATTGAACGAGAAGAGTATAGGCCTTTTGAGCTCGGATCAATAATTTTTAGGTCGAAAGGACCAGAATTGCGGAAAAAGTGAGGTGGAACCTATAAGTGAGAAATTTTTTGAGTTTGCAAGAAAGACGTTTTGGCTAATAACTTTTCGACAACTGGACAGATCCGGTCAATCTTGGTACCATTAGATCAGAAATTAGCTGAACTTACTAGTAGGAAAGAGAATTACTCGAAAAAGCGAGCGAGAAAATTTTTTGAGATTGTTTTTACCAAATAACACAAATCCGGAGGGGTACACCCTTCACGTTTTATAAATTTTTCTGAAAAACCCTTAGACCCCTACCAAAAGGTAATAGCGGTTGAATAAAGTAACTTTAGGCCATTCTAGACCAAAAGGGAGGGCTAAAGGCACAGCAAAAGCTTAATCGAGCCGAAGTTAGGCCAGCGATAAGACCCTTCACCGTTAGCGTGAATTGTCAAATAAGAGGCTTAACTTCAATCCGGAAGGGTCTAGGAAGGTAGTAAATACCCTTCCCAGTTAATTGAAAGAGCATAATTGCATCGGAGAACGTATCCGGAGGGGTATAGGTTGAAAAAAGGAAATCTCCGAAAAGCCACTTTTACAAAACCGGAGGGCTCCCAATCCGGAGGGGTCAAAGATTTTTCAAGTTAGGAGGGGTCCGAATCCGGAGGGGTCTTATAGTTGCTAATTCGGAGGGGTACAAATCCGGAGGGGTATTGTATTAACCAACTCAGAGGGGTCCAAATCCGGAGGGGTCTAGATTCTATCAATCCGGAAGGGTCCTATTTGTGCCAATCCGGAGGGGTATTATTTTATTAAGGACTTAGGTAGACGAAAGAAAGACTAAAAAGTGAGAGGTATTAGGTTATTAACACACAGGCTAGCTATCAGTGACTGCACTGGTAACTTGCCTTTCAATAAGGACCAGACTAATACAAAACAGGTCCGAACTCGGATATTCGCAACACTAAGTCTAAATTAAAAAGAGCGTGACTCATTGGTGTGGATTGAAACATAATACGTTTTTGGGAAAAGT